TCAGTCCAGAGATGTCTCGGGTCACGACATATGGATGGAACCGCGCGTCTGGGACTCTTTTAGGAGTCGGAACAAGATCAGCTTGTTCTGCAGGAACTTTTTGCTGTGTCAGCTTTGCAGGTGCAAAAAGGTTTTGATGACATGTCAAAAGCTTTGATGGGTTAAAGAGGGTTTTGCTTCAGATGGCAGGTCTGAAGCTTTCTCAAGAACTTATGAATCACCAGGGTGATCTGGTTTTAATGTTCTCATGTTATGATTTGTGTAGCCAACCAGAGGTTGACAAGTTTGAGGAATATTACCAAGATTCTCAGAAACACACCTTCCTTGATACCAGTGCTCTGATCTGGGGTAAGGGACTATTTATGTGTCACGAGTTTAACTTAACCTTACTTTGTTCTTGTGTGAGTGCAAGTGGTGATGACCTTGTCATATTAACATGCTGAAATTTATTTCAATCACTGTAATCACAACATAACATTCATTTCAAATTTCAATCATTGAGCACAGATTAATGAAACATTTCATTATATTATAATTATTATAAGTAGCAATAAACAAACATTTATTTAATGATTATCCAGCTTATAAGTTGTAGAAGTTCATATTTGATTTAGGAAATCATTCTTTGATTTAGCAACTAATCCGGGCTGCGAGTGTTCACTTATATGGAGGCATGAAGAATCCAGAAAGATTGGACCTTGTGGAGAGAACATTATTGTTGACATTTCATTATCCGTGTTCAGAGCTGCAGAGTCTCTGAGCTCCAGCTGGTGGGATGAAGGCAGGCTGATTTAAAGGGGACACATGCAGTCTCGTGTCTCCTTTTTGACCAGATGTTGAATGGTCAAACTGTACCCAAAAACTGACCACTGCTGGATGTTACATAAACAACCCAGAGTAAACAGACCACAGTGCAAACAGTGCACTTCGGTAACTGCACTCAGTGAGACAAGCTCAAGGAAAGCTCCTCCGGTCATGGAGGCTACACACACACACACACACACACACACACACACACACACACACACACACACACACACACACACACACACACACACACACACACACACACACACACACACACACACACACACACACACCAAGCTTTGTTTGTTGACACTTATCGCATCTCAAAGCACACTTTGGTGCCAAAATCTTTTGTCACTATTGCAAAAACGAGGGTGAATCACCTCCACTAGCAGGATACGTGCTTCTTTTCTGGAATGTTTGCTCCAGAAAGGTCCAAGTTTAGCTCCTAATGTTCCTTAAAAGTGCATTTCTATAAATGAGTTTGGTTTGACTAAACACTGTCGATAATAGACAAGGTCAGAAGGGCATTACACAAACGGATGTTTCATTCATTTGGTTGTTGTTTAGAAAGTGGAGCCAGGGCAACAAGGGGGAGGATGGGTGAGGAGGGTGAGAGGAATGAGGGAGGAGAGGAGCAGCAGGTTTCCAGGAAGCAGCAGAGAGAGAGTGAAGGAATGATAACACAGTGAAACCAAGAAGAAGTGTGGAGAAACTTTGGATGGTGTGAGGAGGTGGAGGAGACGAATTTCAGCTTAAGGAAGCAGACACCATTCCTGAAGAAGGCCCGTGACCCCATGGGTGCATGATCTGAGAAACAGCTGCACTTTTCTGAAGATAAAGACAAAAGGTCACAAGATTAAAGAAGCACCTATTGACTGTTTTTATGCCACACGTGGTGACAAGCCGTGAAGGCCACACAAACATGGGTTTGGGGAATAAAATGAAATGACTATCATGAAGATTCCCTGGACAGGGAACGCCAAGGCGTTCCCCTGGAAGAGCTGGCTCAAGAGGCTGGGGAGAGGGCCTTCCTGCTTTGGTTGCTGCTTGCGACCCGACCCTGGATAAGCGGCCAAAAGTGGATGGATGGGTGGGTGGAAGATTGCCGACCCATAAAGATTCAAACAAACTTTTAGAAAAAAAAAGCATTTGTTTAACACTTCTGGTTTTGGCAATAGATCCATCAAATATCCTCAAATTATTTGAAATAAATCCCTCCATCTTGAGGTACAGCAGTGAAATAAATGCCAAAAAACTATTTTGGATGAAATTCAGCCCAAAAGCTGAAGGTTTGATGTAAATTCTAGTTCTCGAGAAGTTTTATGTCTCAGGATCTGCAGGTAAGTCTGCAGCTATGGTGCAAATTTCATATTTCTACTTTAGCATTTAGACCCGAAAGGATCAACTCCAAACCGAAGTTTGAGTTTAAATGTGTGGTTCACTGAAACATCATGTTTTAACAATTACTTCTGATTCTAACGGGTCACTGAGTGTTTCATGCAGGCTGAACATGAAAATAGTCTCCTACACCTATCTCCTGCAGTAGCTTCTGATAGAAAACAGACAGTGAATCTCTAGGATTAGAAAATTCTGACAGATCTACGTCACACTGTCACTAACATTCATGGACTCACCCATCTGGACTCACGACGGGAAAGGCTGTTGTTGGTTTAGCATCCAGGAAACATCAGAAAACGTCTCGGCTAGTAGAAGCTAACTGTTAGCATTAGCATCTCCACCAAACAGCAGAAGCATGTGTGTGTGTGTGTGTGTGTGTGTGTGTGTGTGTGTGTGTGTGTGTGTGTGTGTGTGTGTGTGTGTGTGTGTGTGTGTGTGTGTGTGTGTGTGTGTGTGTGTGTGGGTTCCATGAAAGGAACCAGACATATAAAGGAGGGAAGAGATCAAGAAACAGAGGGAGGAGGAAAAATGGAGAAGGGGGAGGAGGGTGGGATATCTGGAGGTGAAATTACTCAGATATCATGTCTTTGAAGGCCTCCAACGCTCATCTCCCTCTGTATTCTGAAGACTCACAGAGAAACAGATGGACTCAGAGGGAAAATGTCAGATTTAAAAACAGAAAAACACTGTTGGTACGGTCTAAGGTTCAGATAGTTCAGGGCAGAAGTGGGGATACTCACACACACACACACACACACACACACACACACACACACACACACACACACACACATACACACACACGCACACACACACACACACACACACCTACACACACACACACACATACACACATACACACACACACACACACACACACACACTCACACACACACACACACACACACACACACACACACACACACACACACACACACACACACACACACACACTTGCATGTATTTCTAACGATGAACTCCTGATTTTTCTTGTTAAACATCAAGTCGTGCATTTGCTGCTTACGTCAGAAGAATTTTAAGCAGCTAACTGAAAGCCCCTTAATTCCTGATCCCTGTATATTTACTGTACCCCCCCTCACCCCCCACCCCACCCCCTGCACACACACACACACATTCACACAGTTTTCTTCTCAAGCCTGCTCTCCATCTCTCTATGAAAACCAGCCAGATCTCACCTGGGAGTGGTTGCCCTCTGCTGAGGTATCACCTGATTCCCTCTGTCTGTTTCCTTTCTTTTGAGGGTCAGCGTGAGTAAATATGCACTTTAAACTCAGAGCCACAAAAGCTTGTTTGCAACTTTTGAAATCTAGATCCTCATTTGACTTATTTGTTTTATATTTATGTTAAAATGCCCTGAAATATATATTTTAATTACACATTAGGTGTTTATCGGTCAAGTAAACATATCTTGAAACTGTCTTTAGAGGCTTCTAGTTCCAAGTGAAAGTTCTTCTCCCTTTGAAATCTGAGTAACGTTGGCCTGACACCTAGTGGAAGTCAAAACCTGGCCTGAGTGATCTTCTGAAGCCTGCAGCTGCAAAACAAACATCAAGATCCACCATTAATTAGCAGACTGACTAAACCGTTTAATGAAAAAAATTTTAGACTCTTACTTCAAATGTTTGTGAGGAAAACAGCAGCTAACTACCAAAGAATGGAGCTGAGATGAAAGTATGACACAGGAGTTTTATTGTCCAGGTTGTCATCCCGTTCCTGACTCATTTTGGGGCTGCAGCCCTTACAGTAAGAGCTCTTTCCTTTCATGGTGCTGTCTGCAGAGAAGTGCTCCCATGTCTGGACTAAAAAGGACTGAAAAGGATGCATGCACTGTAAGTCAGGCTCCAGCACATGCACACGCTTTGTGCATTGGTGTTATGGAAACACACCAAGGGCATGAACATTATATGCTGTTGAATTTCCAACAGGGAAGCCTTTTTATAACCTGCTTCATACTACAAGTGACCGATGCATCAATCATCTGAACTCAGCTGGTGCCCGAACAAGCTGACCTGAAACAGCGAGAGCGCAGAAGCACAGCGTGGACTCGGTTTTATGGCTTTTGCTTTAAGAAAAGATTGTTTATTTTATGAAACAAGTCAGGAGCACAGGACTGTAGGCAGCTTTGCGACTCTTCTGGAAGCAAAACTTGTTTTGGCTGCAAGTCTCAGTGAGTTCAGTCAAACTCAGGACAGGTGACCCGTCACCATGGGCAGGCCATCTAAACAGAAATGACAGAACGCCAAAGTCGCACCACCTGAAATTCACATCCTGGACAGCAAGGGAGAGGTTTGGGGAGGAGATGTAAAGTTGAAGGAAACTGAAGTGATGGCTGCTGCTGTGAGAAGCTGCCATCACCAATCTGATCTGAACCAAAAGAGAATGACTTCCTCTCTTTTAGAAATTCTTCTTCTGATACAAATGTTCTCAGTCTCTTTCACACTCTAATAAAAAGGGGCCTTAACTGAGCAAACTACCGTAAGATGAAAAGGACTCACTATTTGGATTTGAGCTTTCCTCTCCGTTTGTTTTCTCAAACCATGAACCTTTTTATTAAACGTAGCGTTGGTTTTGTTGGAGGAAAACTGACACAATAAATGCAGACCTCTAAAATGACATTTTACATTTAAGGAGTGAGTTTCTCCCCTGTGCACAAAACAAACGAGTGATATGTAAACCCCCTGGGCATTGGCTCAATTAGACCAGGCGCTTAGCAGATTATAATCATTTGGTGAGGATGACGCGCGGGGCGTAACAGTGTTGCTGCTCCGCTCTCGAGTGTGTATCAAAGCCTTCAGTCTAATAGAACTTGTTGCCCGCAGGCAGACATTAATGAGTCCTTTTGTCAAGGTGAAGGAACAGAGATAGTAGGAAAAGCATTAAAGGATGCAGGATGAGAGGGCGTGCATGATAAAAACCACACTGCTCATTTGGGCACATGAGTGATTGTCCTTGATTATGCAGATTAGAGACAAATTGTGTGGATGTGATAGAGACAGAGCAGATAAACTGCTTGGATTTTGTGTTTTGTTGAATGAATACTTCATTGTGCAAACCTGTTATTAAAAACGTTCAATATTCAATTTAATTTATCACAAATTTTTTTTAAGGTAGAACCACTAGATGGGGCTGTTTAGTCATTGCTGCTCTCTGTGGAGAGTGTTATTGCCTCTGTGCTTCGATCATATTATATCTTTAATGCAGACTTTTAGTTTTGCTTCAGATGAGCTACTTTCCATCTGATGCTGACTTTTACAAGATGTGTCTGTGCAAAGAGAACAACCCTAATGCAAACCTGGTGATTCAACACTCATCACATTAAAATCACGTAGCTATAAAAGCTCCAGCAGCCTTTTGTGTCTAATTTGCCGTGCTTTATACACGAGCCAAAGTACAAGGGAAAACACGGGGTATGTAAATGTGATGGCTAAAATGCCTTGTTTTCCGTGCGCCCACATTGGAGCAGCGTTGCTTTGATTCGTCTCCAGCTGTAGGGAATGAGGAAACAATTACGTTGCCACCTTGTGGGATGTTTCCTACAGAAACGGCACCGAACGAGCGTGTTCCTGTTCAGCCGTAAAACAAATGAGATGGAAATGAGCTTGAAAAACAACCACAGGAGCGTTTGTTGTTGATGTACAGTTAAATTAAGCTTTTTCTTTCATGTATGAAGAATGAATAACCTGAGCAATGTCCCACACAGTTACCTCCCTTAACTGCACCAAACTAGTTCATATCAGTAATCCTAGCCAGAACACCAAAGTCTCTGTCCAGTGGTGACCTCCTCTTGTTTGTGTAGCTCTGTAGACACATAATCATGATGTTCCAGCAGAACAAGTGTTATCCAGTACCAGTGCTGTTCCCTTGCTGCTACAACAGTGTGCCTGACAGCGACGATGGGGTGTGGAGATGCTAGATGTGTAAGGTGAAAGGTGAGACCTTGTGTGTGTGTAAGAGGTGAAGAATGTCAGAAAAGAGGTGGAGAAAAGGGAACATGCATGTGCAGAAGGACGTTGGGTGAAAGGGTCAGAGGGATTCTGAGAAGTTTGCTGTCACATGCACGTCTGTTTCCAAACAGCGGCTCTATTTTTGGGAGGAGGAATGTACACAGGCCTCGTGGAAAGAGACCTCAACAACAAACAGTGTGCAACACGGTGCCTGCAGAGAGGTGGACTTGCAGCATCCACACAAAGAGAGAGGAAGAGACATGTTCTTCTGAGAAGACGCTTGGATCCCAGTAACAACACCCGAGGAAGAAGAAGGGAACAAGGTGAGAGTCGTTTTATTGCAAGGCTGTGATGGAGTTTTTGATTCACTTCTCTTATGTTTACAAAAATAATTCATGTTTTTATAGTTTTACTTTAAATTAATACATTTCTGCACACACGAAAAGCATGAATGCAAACTTTTGAATTTCAGCAAAACACAAACAAAAATCTCTTCTAGACGTATGAATGTGGTTCAAAACAGATTTCTCTAAAAGTGTTGTTCAGTTTACACTTCTTACAGAAACACACCCCTGCTGGTGAGTAGGTGCAGAAGGGCATGCTGATCATTATAACGAACTATTAGCAAAGACAGCGCGCTGCAGTTTGGTCATTCTGAACAAACTAAATGTGTCCGAGAGTCAAAATCACAGCTTCATCCTTTTTACCCTCAAACAAATAAAACTTAGAGATAAAATAGTTTTATGGGGATTATGGTGCACGCATGTGCTGGACTGTAGTTTCATCTGGTTGACAACAGTTGTTCCAACCTTTAAAATGTCCATCGTATCTCTCCTTTGTCTTTACACAGAATGGATCCATGTGCCGTTGAGGTCCGCCACTATGAGGAGGGACAGCACTCCTCCTCGCTGCTCCTGCGGCTCAACACGCTGAGACAGGAGAACATCCTGACCGACGTGGTGCTGTGTTCAGGTACCACACAGATCCCCTGCCATCGTAATGTTCTGATGTCCAGCAGCCCTTACTTCAGAGCCATGTTCTGCAACGACTTCATGGAGAAACAGCGGAGCAAGGTCGGGGATGACCTCTGCCACCCTGAGCAGCATCATTGACTACGTTTACACTGGACTCATTAGCATTAGCAAGGATATGGTGCTTCCTCTAATGCAGGCGGCATCCATGCTACAATATGACCGCCTTTTTGAGATCTGCTCCCGTTTTCTCCCGTGAAACCAGACAACTGCCTGAGCATGATACGACTATCTGAAATAATGAACTGTAGCAGTTTGAGGGACAAACAAAAGAGATGGCCATGAAGAGTTTCTCTGATGTGTCGACATCTGAGGATCTGCGTGAGCGCTTGTTACAGGAGCTGATGGGGTACCTGGACGATGATAGCCTTTGTACAGAGGAGGAGCAGGTCTTTGAGTCACTTGTTGCATGGATCCATCATGACCCCATATCCAGGCGTGGGGCAATCAGTGATCTTTCCAGGAAAGTCCGCCTCCGATATATCCACCCCACTTACCTCTTTCAGTTCATTGCTAACAACTCTCTGATCCAGTCGTGCACCCTCTGCACTGAGCTCCTCGAATCCGTGAGATGCCTCATGTTTTCCGTTGACACAGCTTGCATCAAAGGAGTGGATCTCAAATCTGTTTGGGTTGCTCCACGGCGTTGCACCTACGATGACATGCTGTTGGTGGTAGGAGGGAGGAAGAACAATGAGCAGACCTCAAAGGAAGCCTTGGTCTTTGATGAGAAGTGGCAGAAGTGGCAGTGGCTCGCCAAACTTCCAGTTCGTCTTTACAAAGCCTCCTTTGTCGCCCTTCACAGCGTGCTGTATGTTCTCGGAGGCCTGACCACAAACACAAAGCACGGCCAAGTGAGCAGAACCGTTTACACCCTCTCTCTCAAGACCAACCAGTGGCGCACTGCAGAGCCCATGTTGCAGCCTCACTTTGCTCACCAGAGTGTCTCATACTGTACATGCACTTCGTCTTCGTCCTGGGTGGACTCGGACCTGACAAGCTCCTAACAGACAATGTGGAAAGGTGAGCTCCTTAGTCACCACGCTGCATCGGTATAAAAAGTGTTGCAGAATGACACCTGCGAACCATCAATCTCTGCAAGTTGTTCAGAGGTACAACAGTATGTTCAACCAATGGGAGCCAATGGCACCAATCCCTGAGGCTGCGCTTCACCCTGCGGTCGCTGCTATCAACCAGAGAGTCTATGTGATTGGAGGAGAGGATGCCATGCAAAACCCCGTCAGACTGATACAAGTGATGCAAACCCTCTGACTGTTGGCTCATTTCTAATCTCACCCAGTCAGCTACTGATTTTATGTCTCTTCACCTTCCTCCACAACAGGTTTACCACATCAGCAGGAACATGGGGTCCAAGATGGAGAACAGAACGGTGAAGAACGTTTCTGCTCCCACTGTAGTTATGGATGAGAGAATCCACATCATTGGAGGTACTAAATAGAGCTGCAATAAGCTGAAAGGCAGAACAACAACAGGAAAACCAAGACGTGCACAAAAGAAATATCGAGTCTTCTAAATACCAGGATTTGTTAGCAAAATGTTTGTTTTTGCTATTGGCACAACTTTAAAATAGTAGGAAAAATAACATCCTCTCTTTGTTTTTCTATTCAACGGTGAGGATTTAAGTCTTGGTAAATGTTGCGACATTCACCCACACATCTAAATGCTTCTGTCACAGGATACACCAGGAGAATGATCGCATACGACACCAAGACCAGCAGGTTCATCAAGTGTGCCAACCTGAGGGAGAGGAGGATGCACCATTCTGCCACCATCATCAACCACAACATCTACGTCACAGGTGGACGTTACGTCAGCGGACACGATGTCATTGAAGACTCGGACACTTTTGAGTGACCCAAAGACAGACACGTGGACATGTAAAGGGAGCTTGCCTTATAAACGGTTTGACCATGGCTTCCTGACTGTGACGTGTCTCACAGAACTGGGCTCAGTCGTGACACAGAAGGGACAAAAACAAATCCCTTTTGTTGTACATTAAAGACCAATCTTTTGTCGTATAGCTGTTTGCTGATGACTATTTGAATTATACTATAGCATTCCTTGAGTGATTTTGTCCTTTCAACCCCCAGACATGTAAAAGGTTTGCTACTCTGCAGCACAGCTTGTTAACCTGAACCCTAACTTCACAAAGGGTGAAAGTGCTGTTTTCAGCCTGTTTTGAGTCAAGAGATTGTTCTTGTCATGTTTGGATCCCGGGGGCTGTTTGGTGTGAGCCTCAGCTCCGAGGCTATGATGTTTGTGTCTGCGGCTCCATTGAAAACTGGTGATGAAAACGTTGTGATAAAAATGTTAACATTTCTTTTACACAAAGATCAGATAAGAGTATCAATCTACCATCTTTAGCATTAGGCTTACGTCAGCCTTGTTTTCTCTGTCATTGCTTAAAAATTTAAAAACACATTTTAATTTGTAATTGTGACATCTCATTTCTCTAACTGCAGCTTTTCATAGCAGTTCTGCCAGCTGACTGTAATTTTGATTACAGACACCTCCTCTAAGTCGGACCCTGATGATGTCCTGTCCACGCACGATGTCTTTCTGTCCAGACATGTTGCTGAACTCCTTATCCTAGTACTACATCTAGTTTAAAACCTCTAACTTGTACAAAAAAGAATGAAAGAGGACAGATTTAGAAAGAAAGAAACAATCTTTTCTGTAGTGCCTCTCAAGATAAAAACCGCGAGGCGCTTCACAAAAACAAAACAATTTAAATGATAAAGATTTTAAAAAATGATTAAAAAGCCTGAACAGGTGAGTTTACAGCTACTTTTTGAATGAGTCATTTGAGCTTTTAAAAATATTTAGGCTATGTTGTGGAGAAAATGACATAATTTGTTCTCTCAACGTTTCACGCTGACATCACCAAGTGCTGCTTTTCCTGAATTTGAGAAAATAGGTTTTTTAAAGCTATTTCTGAAAGTCGTCATTTAGCAACAGCTAATGTTTGCATATCTGAAACTGAAAGACGAGTGAACAAAATCATCAGAAGCAAACATTATAGGAGTTTAAGCATTTCTAACAACACAGAGTCTCTTGCCTCCATCTAACGAGGCCAAAGGAAAAGTGGTTGGAGAGGGCGAGGAAGGCTGGAGAAACTATAGGTGATCTGATGTTATTTTGAGTCACAAACAAGGGCAAATGTTACTCCACGTGATGCCGTGTGGTGTGAGCTGACTGATGTGGCGCTAGAGACAGAGAAACTCAAGAGGTGTGTTTCACAACAGAGAATCTGAGCGAGTGATGAAACTCATCCACGAGGAGCAGCAACAGGTGGATCTGGGTATCTGTGTGCCCAAGTGTGTGTGTGTGTGTGTGTGTGTGTGTGTGTGGTGGGGAGGGTAACTCGGGACTGACCACCTGTTGTGTCTCATCATATCACAACAAAAACAGGATGAGGTGATCTGAAATAAAGCAACATGGATGATGAGATTACGATTTTTCTCAACGATGCATTTAGTCAATTTTAACAGAAAGTTTACAAATAACCAACTTTGTAAAACAGCAGATTTCAGGTTTCTTACATTGAATGCTCTTTAAGAGGCTCAACGATGATATCATGCTGATATTCTTCTGCTAAAATAAATCATGTTGCAGCTGAACTTGTGTGTAAATGTGTTAAAGTGTGGCCTTATGTGTGCAAATAAACACAAATCTTAAGAGGAAATCTCAAACAGCATCCTGCCACTACCACCTAAGCCCACACATGCACTGACTACACAACACAACCTCAGGTTTGGACAATAACTGTGATATCCGTACAATCTCACTACTCTGTGTCCAACGTGACAAATCAACATCATCACTACTGTGTAATATTTATAACTAAATAATGGCCTGTATTTGATATAGTGCCTTCTAGAGCCCTAGAACCCCCCAAGGCTCTTTACAACACAATCAGTCATTCACCCATGCACGCACTAAATGTTTTAATTTATTCTGTCAGTGTATTCTTTATTCTCTAAAATTGGCAGAAAGAATGTTCACACTCAATCCCACTACGTGACTTCAAATCGAGTCGAACCAAAGTTAGCCAAAGTCAGATTAACGCACCTAGATTATGTGGTTCAGAGTTTAATTGTTCGGGCATTTATTTGTTTAAGTTGGGCCCAAACTGCTCTGAATGCAGCGAGCATGCTGCTCTGATCCTGTTACAGGGTTTAAAGCAGAGGTAACACAAGAAGCTGCACTTTAGGACATGAAAAAGCCAAAGATTTTATGAAATGATCTGGTCAACTTAATGAAATATACAACTGAGTAAAGTTTAACATGATACCACCTCCGAAAATATAATAAAGGTATGTGAGGTCACCAAGCAGCTGAGAGGACCGGTCGTGTGTCTCAACAAAGTCTGTGATGGATGTTGTTTTTCTAAACCTAACCAAGAACAACGACAGAAATCTCATAAAATACCCGGGTCATGCTCCAGCTATCGCTGGAGTGAAGGAGGGAAAGACGCCTCTTAGGAAAACAAACAGTATGTGAAGTATCCATGTGGTTTTAATGCAGTTCAGATTGATGACCAGAATTATCCTTGCTTCGTCTGGACTAGCCGCATCTTTTAATGATATTGTGCCACAAACCAAGTTTACTTTTCCAGGACCCGGACTCGTTGTGGTGGGATTGAAGCTCAGCATTGCCATCTACTTTTAAGAGCGTCTAAAAGTTATTGCTTTAATTCTCTCCTTGGAGTCATTCAAGTACATTTACCTCTGCTGGTAGTTCTGTTTCTAACCGCACGTGATTTCTGATTAAACACCGTCAATCGTACAGTGAATAAATTCAGCTGAAACCAACAGGTTAGAGGTGAACCACTCAGTGAGCAGGCATCTGCTGGGACTTTCCAAGTCACCATGTAGCCTAGCTAGCTCCAGGAATAGAAAGACTTGGGGACTTTTGCTGCCATATTTATTACTCTACACTCAAGGAAGTCACACAGAAACACACTTTCAGCATTGCAGATCCACATGCCTCAATGTCACTTTGACTTTCTGTAATAAAACTATTTTCACACGAGTCACGTCTGCAGGAATAATCCTGCTGACCAGTGTGTTGTTTTGTCCTCATTGTGCCCTGTTCACGCTGCAAGATTTAAAAATTTGTTTGCATGATTTTCAAAACATGAGAAACCCTAGCATGTGGAAAAACCACAGAAATACTAGTTTTGGTATTACGGTGTGTGCTGCGAGTCACACGGGAAAAACTTCAGACAAAATGATTTGCCCTAAAAACCACAACCAGGATCTTGAACTCCCCTTCTGACAGTATGAAGGATTTGCCAGAAAATTAATGCTATTAAAGTTTTTTGTCATGTGTGGTGTGTTAAGAGCATCCTGGTCTGCTCATAAGTATGTTGGGTTATTGATTATTAAGGCTTCAGTATAGGGGTTTCCTCCTTTAAGTAATTATGTATGATTTTAGAACTCCGTAAAAGTGATAGTCTAAGCCTGGGGCACGCCGGAGACAGATGCTCAGCGCCCGTATTTTAAATAGAAGCCATCATAGTTACTGAGCATGGCTACACGGGGAGCGCAGCGTCCCAGAAGTGTTGCGCCGCTCTGAGGATATGTGCCAGTTCCATTTCAAGCTCGGTTGCTCGGCTAGAGGTGCGTATTTGTGGACAAGAGGTGTTGCTTTCGGGCAAAACTACAGAAGCTGGGATAACGAAGTGAGGTGCCATTTATTTTCCAGCCTCTAGTTGGTGCCATTGGGTTAAAATAACTTCTGGATTTCTGCTTTAATCTGGACTTTCAAACACTTTGGATTTTCTTGGTCGGTTTTTGAGACCAAACGTTTTGAATGTGATTGAATGAATGTGATGTCTAATAAGAAAACGAGCTGATGGAAGCACGTGCACCCTCCTTCTCTGCCATGCTTGTTTATGTTGAAGTTTGATGTCTGACGGAGCAGTGTTTGTGTAAAATTGGTTTGTGTGTGATGGGTAGTTTTTACACACCGCACATTGTAGGATCAAACTGGAATATCCGTGATTTTTCATTCCTGTGTCTGTCTTCTCTCATGATTTTTAAATCATCCGACAAAATTCTGCTGTAAGGCCTAACATAACACACACACGGCAGGAATATCATTTAAAACTATTTTTAGGGCCATTGTGGTAATTGGGTGCATCCTTAAAATGGACGGGAAAGGTTTAATTATCTTGCAGTGTGAACTGGAGCTTAGATGTCCACACTTTAGTGCAGCAAACAAAAACCAACAAAACGCTAAAGTTACAGTAGTTATAATGTGTCTGGTAACAGAACTTAACTGTAGCTTATAAGAGAAAAGAAATGAAATGACTGTGAGGTAGACTATAACTGACTCTGCAGCACAAACCCCACATTAGTCACATGTGCAGCTCTGGTCATGCTGAGCAGCCCAGATGCTCCACAGCGTATGCTGGAGGTGATCTGAAACTAGTCTGCTGCTCCACAGAAGAGGAGCCACTCCGTGTGCACACTGTGCCTCATGTCCTGACATGTTTTGCTGATTGTGTTTCATGAGTTATGAAGAGTGGGGAAATCTCCTCTTACTTATTCTGGCTTGTTGATGACATTAGCTGGACTTAGCTGAAGACGAAGCCACCTATCGGTGTGATGTATGTGGATTTGGGGAAATCTCCTCTTACTTATTCTGGCTTGTTGATGACATTAGCTGGACTTAGCTGAAGACGAAGCCACCTATCGGTGTGATGTATGTGGATTTGGGTGAGGCATTTAAATCTGTTCCTCTTTGATCACTTTTTATCTCGTGTCCAGATTGTTGATGACAAAGCCAATCTCCTGGGGGATTTTTAATACAGCACAAGGCCGAATAACAGTAGGAATACTATCAACGCCATAAACAGCTCAATGAACTCGTCTACAGAAGCTTCACCAGATGAATGTGCAAACACACTTAATGATGCTGATAGGATCTGCTCCAGTGCTTGGACAGGACATGATCCTTCACAGCTCTGGCTCAAATCAACTCAAACACACCCTCCAACAGATTACCTAGAACAATCAGTGTTGATTTGGGGAAAAATAATTTAAATACAGTGGTAAACCCCTCCTTCTATGTTCAGTTCACAGAGGATCGAGCCTACACCTCGGGAAGGATCCAATGCACTCGGGCTGTTTACAATTGCAGAAGTGAAAAAGAATCATGACATTAGAGCCACATTTCTGAGGAGCCAAATATTTTTTTTAACTTTAATTTACACTAAGGCAGATTCTCAAGAGCACACGACCCTTGAAACCTTGACAGAAAGCACATCACCTGATGTTTTTCATACCAACATATTTAAACTTTGGTGAGAAATGATGCCATAGCCATTAAAACTAGAAAACACCTGGCAGGGCACTGACACGCTCAGCAATGACCACATTAACGTTTAGCTCAGCACATGTAAAACTGCCTGAGTTCGAGCTAGCTTTGGGCTTGCTAAGGTTGATTAGGCTTGTTAGCCATCTTGAATGGAGGTGACCAAAAGGTAGCCAGTTATGCACCTTCAGTGAACATTTTCTGTTTATTTAAAGTCCACCCATTGGTTCATGAGGTTTGCTAACAGACACCGTTAGCTGTTTGGTAGAGGGACACAATTAAAATGTGTTCCAGCTGTGTCTCTCATGTAGATACTCAGTTACATCACACAGGTTGGTGGTATTTCATTACTATGTTCATTTTGATCAGAGCTATTTTCATTCAGGGGTAAAAGTCACATCAGCTTGTTGATGATCTTTGTTACCCCTCTGGTGCAGGTGAGTTAGCCCTGATTTAAAATAAAAATGCCTTGCTCGGGCTTTAACCCGCTAAAAGATTCCAACACGAATGTCAAAGGTGCCCTCTGTCTTTAACTTTCCATGACATGAGACGTTTTCATCCCCTCCAAGCTCTTTCGCAACACTGAGGTTGATAAACAAAGCCACGTGTTGGGGACAGGATTCCTGAGTGGGCGGGGCTTGTGCGCTTCCGGGTTCTGAGTGGGAGGATAAAAGTGAGCTGCGCAGTGTCAACACTCAGGAAACTAAAGCGCTGCAGGGACGTGACACTCTTCATTAAACGCGTATTTAAAAGGTTGGTTCGTTGGCTTTAGAGCAGCGGCCGAGTCAGAATGCCTTTCCTTGGACAGGATTGGAGGTCACCGGGTCAGAACTGGGTCAAGACCGAAGATGGGTGGAAAAGGACAGCAGCAGACGGCAGAAACAGCAACAACGTCTCCGCGGAGAGGTGCGTCGTTCTGTCCAGAAGTGTTGCACTTTAGAAACGCGAAGCTGCTCGTTTAGAGGCGCGAGAAGGATGGATGGGTAAGGGGGAGATGAAGAAAGGGAAGTGGGCCTTCACGCTGGTTGGTTTTTGCTGGTTGCTACATTTCCCTCGCAGGGAATCGCACAGCTATTAATAACCCAACAACAAGTGAGAGGATTAACAAGCGTCTGTCCCAGCCTCCATAGTAACTCTCCTCTCACCATGACCTCAGGCGTGATTAGGGCTGTTTACCCCTCAGAGCTGAGGATGGACATGTGTTTTACCCTTTTACCCCTCAGAGCTGAGTATGTTTTACCCCTCAGAGCTGAGTATGTTTTACCCCTCAGAGCTGAGTATGTTTTACCCCTCAGAGCTGAGTATGTTTTACCCCTCAGAGCTGAGTATGTTTTACCCCTCAGAGCTGAGTATGTTTTACCCCTCAGAGCTGAGTATGTTTTACCCCTCAGAGCTGAGTATGTTTTACCCCTCAGAGCTGAGTAAGGCACATGTGTTTACCCCTCAGAGCTGAGTAAGGCACATGTGTTTACCCCTCAGAGCTGAGTAAGGCACATGTGTTTTACCTCTCAGAGCTGAGTAAGGCACATGTGTTTTACCTCTCAGAACTGAGGGTGGTACATGTGTTTTTATTTCTAACAGCTGAGGTTCTGATGGTGCATGTGTTTATGCAGCTTCTGCAAAGTCAAAGAGGCAGAGAGCTTCAACAAGGAGAACCTGCTGTTCTCCCTCAGCTATGATATGGCTGCCAGAAAGAGGAAGAAAGACCTGATGAACAACAACAGCAAGATCCCTTGTGAGTCTTCACACACACACACACACACACACACACACACACACACACACACACACACACACACACACACACACACACACACACACACACACACACACACAGTTGCACAACGTGCACGGACACTTTCTCAATTGGAACGTTTCATTAATTTGTCCACGTCCTGTTTGTGGTGCATGCTCGTGCATTAGTCTCAGAGCTGATGCTGTGTAACGAGAGCAGCAGCAGCAGCCACTGATGGAGACACTTGATGTTTCCACAGATTTCCACAGGGAGAAGTGGATTTATGTTCATAAAGGAAGCACCAAGGAGGTAACAATTAGTCTGATATCCAACTTTTCTGATCTAATGCAAACTCCGTCAGACTGCTCCGTGCTCTTGTGGACGATTGCAATCAAATACTCTGATAATTAAATTCTCCCAGCGCCATGGTTATTGTACACTCGGCGAGGCCTTCAACCGCTTGGATTTCTGCAGCGCCATCAAGGACACCAGGAGATTTAATTACGTTGTCAGAGTGAGTTCTCGTGCCTTTTCTTCTCTTTACTCTGAGTTGGTGTGTGTGTGTGTGTGTGTGTGTGTGTGTGCGTGCGCGCGCGCGTACGCACGCTTCTGGGACGTTCTTATCAAAACTCTCCAGACAAGAACCCCTCAGTGGTGACCATATGACCCAGTAATCAATCAAAGATACTTTACTAATCCCAGAGGGAAATTGGAGTAATGTGTGTTTTAATCTCCAAGTTGAATTTAAACCACTAAACGGACGCATTTAACGTACATTGGTCTCAGGATCAATCTTTTTCTTTAAAATTTGATTTTTTTTCCCTCCTGCTACAATATAATGTGCGATCTAAACCCTGGCCCTCTTCCACATGTTCCCACATGTGACTGTGAGGTGTCCGTGACAGCCGTGTGGTGATGTGTGACCACCCCAGGAGGGGGTTTATGAAACCAGACCTGATGATTGTCAGCTGAATCTGAACCCCAAACACACACACACACACACACACACACACACACACACACACACACACACACACACACACACACACACACACACACACACACACACACACACACACTGTCTCTGATTAACCCCTCGGTTTTCCGCTCACACTCCATGCCCGTTTATTTTGGACTTTCCAGTTCTCTAATCAGGCAGGATTGTGTTTTTAATTACTTTTCTTGCTTTCATTTGAAGAAATGGGTCCAGAAGCTCCGCATGTCCTCACACACCAGTTTGGTTGTAATCTGGTCTAATTTTGGGAGGTTTAGATTTGCTTCTTGTCGCAGATCCCAGCTCATAAGTGCAGCGAGGTGCGTTAAGGCCAAAACAATACCACAATGGAACACTAGCTTCTCGCCGTCTGATGGCGTTTACGGGATCGCTTGACTCCATCTCGATTACACATATCAGTTTCTTCTTCCTCACCTGCATCAGTGCCTCCCCCCCCCACTATCAGTCAAAGAGACGTAATCGGTACGTTAAACTTAACTCCACCTTTTAGAAGCAGAACTTTATGTAATTTTGACATCCAGTGCTTCTGGAAAGCGTGCGAGCCACATGATTAGCTTTGAGGTGTAGCTTAGTGCTCAGCGGGAGGGTCTAAAAGTAGAAGTGCCGTTCTGCCCGACTGCTCTGCAGAGATGGGAAGCTGCTCAAAGAAGGAAGGGTAGAGGATTAGGGAAGAAAGGAGGGATGAAACCATCCAGAGAAGCTGGAAAATCAGGCGTGGATAACCAGAGGAAAATGATTTCTTCTCAACGGATCAGAGGGAATCTCCTGGATCCTACAGATGATGATGGTAGCTTTTGTTCTCATGACTCACTCTTGATGGCTCACTTTAATGTCTCCATGATGTCACAGCATCTGTTACATGCCCTCCCATCTCCTCCTGTGACCCCCTGCTTTAATGCTTGCCAACAGCAACACACACACACACACACACACACACACTTTCTGTACCATGATTCAGCTAGTTCACATGACTGGAGATCAGGAGTCAAATGATTAAGTTTATTTTTGGCAGCTTATGTTGAGATGGTTGTCCAACACGTCTCCTGCAGCTTCTTCTCCCCCTGTAGAGGTGTGTGTGTGTGTGTGTGTGTGTGTGGGGGGGGGGGGGTTAAAGGTTACAGACTTAAGGGCTCTTGTCAGCTGAGGAGTAACAACCAGGTGGAGCGTCGCCAGCATAATGTTCGGCGTCTGCACAGCGAGTGTTTTGCAGGAATGCGGCCGAGCGTGTGCAGTAACGGGACAGTGGAACAGAGTCTCAGCAGCTGACAGGAAGAAACTGATGTTTTTCTTTTCATGTCCTTTTTGTTTTCTTCTGCTGAAGCTGCTAGAGCTTATCGCCAAGTCCCAGCTCCCCTCGCTCAGCGGAGTGGCGCAGAAGAACTACATGAATATTCTGGAGAGGGTTGTTCAGAAAGGTGAGCCTCGTCGCTCTACTACATCCACTCCTCTCATTGGGTCATGCAAATTTAGTTTTTTAGGAAAGGCGTGCTGCTCTTGCAGGATTCAGTTTGGTTTCATCTAGATATGACCAACAGACATAAACATAGGCAAGGACGTAATTTTCTCTTTAGAAGTGGGGGGGGATCTTTACAATATGTTCTAATGGGAAACCGGCTTCAACACAAACGGTTGCTTTCGGCTTGGTCCTAGAGCTCAACCAGTGTCAATTTAATATAGCGTAATATTGTTTTTGGATGGTAAAAAGTGCAGGGGTCAAAACTTGACTTTGGAAAAAGTGGGGGGACATGTCCCCCCTGTCCCCCCCCCCCCCCAAAATTACGTCCATGAACATAGGTGATTAAAGGCTAGTGAAGCTGTTTGGATCTGCAGCTTTGGCTCTGTGAAAGCCCCTGACGGTCACCAGACCGCTCTACACGCCAGAGCATAAACCAAATGATCCTTCTACTAAACAGATTCAGGTTGTTTAGGTAACGCTATGAAACCTCGTGGACAAATATTATTAGTGCAGCAGGAAAGATGGCAGCCAATCTTAAACATTTGGTTTGATAACCTCACTAATCTGGACCCCCCCCCCCCCCCCCCCCCCCACACACACACACACACACAGTCCTGGATGACCAGCAGAACGTCCGTCCCATCAAAGAGCTGCTGCAGATGCTCTACGTCTCGCTGTGCGGTCTGGTTCAGGACATGGGCAAGTCCGTCCTGGTGGGGAACATCAACATCTGGGTGCACCGCATGGAGAACATCCTGCAGTGGCAGCAGCAGCTGGACAGCATCCAGATCAACAGGGTGAGCATCTGCCCACACCACAATTTCTCGAGTACTTCAGTCGTGACCATTTCTGTCCCTGCAGCCCACGTCCACGGGCATGGCTCTGACCGAGCTGCCAGCCAGCCTGCAGCTGAACATCATGCAGCGTCTGTCGGACGGCAGGGACCTGGTCAGTTTGGGACAGGTGTGTCCAGAGCTCGGGAGCCTTGCTGAGGACCGCCTGCTGTGGAAGAAACTCTGTCAGTACCACTTCACAGACCGACAGGTGGGTGGAAGGCTATCCAGGAAATAATCAAGCACGTTTAAGTGTTTTCTGTGTAAAGGTTATTAAAAAAAATCACTTTAGATTACACCCAGAATGGCCTCAGTTTCTCCAAACGGAGATTACATCCTATAGGACTGATGAGCTAATGGCTAGTCTGAGAACAGTGTTTAAAATGACCGGTTCCTGCAGTGTTCTTCTATAAACCTTTACAGTAAAAGTGACACCAACATGATGCCATGTGTCTTAAATATGAGAAACATTATCGTGCCTGGTGCCTCCAGGGGTCACACGTCTGGCCGTGTGGTGCACAGGTTTTACAACTTCATGTAGAAACACTTAAATACCCATTATTATTAATATTAATATCATAAACTCAACCTCTGTTTAGTGCTGGAGAAAATGAAGACGCTGCTATTCTGGGTCGCATCTTTTAAAACCGTCTCTCTTCTTTAGATCTGCAAACGTCTGATGTTGTCGGATAAAGGCCACCTGGAGTGGAAGAAGATGTACTTCAAGCTGAGCCGCTGCTATCCTCTCAGAGAGCAGTACAGCGACACGCTGCACCTCTGCACACACTGCCACATCCTTTTCTGGAAGGTACGACGCTGGCCTTAACCCTCCATCACAGCAGATGTGAAACTCAAACGCTCCCGTCCTTAAAGCTGCACCTAAAGGGAAAAGCAAAGGAAAACAGGCGCCTGACATGAAACTAACTAAATGTTTATCTTTGCTCCTAGGACACGAATCACCCCTGCACAGCCAACAACCCAGAGAGCTGCACCACCGCCCTCTCCCCTCAAGACTTCATCAATCTGTTCAACTTCTGACGCCTCGGCCCCAGATGAGCTGCTGTACATATGGATGTTGATGTTTCTGTCCCAGGAAGGTCCTGGATGTAGGTTTAGTCTTGGTGTGACGCAGGCGGTAGGACGAGGATGCAATTTTCGAACGTCTGTGAAGGGTTCACCTGTGAAAGGGACTGAATGTGGTGAAAGGGATGCAGGTGTGTGCGTTTAGTCTTCGGTGTGGTTTCTGAAGCCACTCCTCTGTTTTCCTCCTGTTAGGAGGTTTTTATTTTGACTTTAGAGGCGAGGAAGATGAAGTTGATGGGATTAAATTGCAGAGCGAGGCCTGCACACACGGGGAGGTGCAATATGTTTAATGTACATATTTTATTTTATTTTATTTTTCGTGTTCTGGGATGGCCGAGAGGCTCCTGTTAAGCTGCAGAAGTAACCCAGATGGAGGATCTGATGTTCTGACTTCTGTTATTTTTTATCACTTTTATATGGATTTGATAATTTTTTTAACCATTTTCTTTCTATGGCTGTAATTACAGCAGCACCTGTGTGTATTATTATTACCAAAGATTTGTAATGAGAGCCAGCATAAGCACGGTGTATTGTGAGACTTAAAACAATCCTGGTACCATCTGTGTCTTGCTGCCACCCGTTTAACTCGGATGCAGTTTTTTTCCTTCATAATTACAACGAAGTGTCTGATTTACACTTTTCCAGGCTGCTGGAAGCAACGTGTTTCTGTAAAAGCCTCCTGCATATTTTTTTACACACCCAGCTGATTGTTTACGTATTTCTTGGAACTTTAGACAAATGGTTGAATTTGTTTGGGAGCAACGGGGTCCAGCTTGCCTGGATCGGCTCAGATGCTGCTGTCTGTACGTCCCCACTATGCAGTCTGTCTGTTTGGTTTAATAAATAAAACAAAATATTCTAAAATGACGTTGTCACTGATGTTTAAGATGAAAATGATCCTGCTTTTGGTCTTTGACACTTTATAAACTCTTTTCTGCTGAAGGATTCTTGTTTCATGTTATTTTCTGCTCATGTTGCTGCTGTTGCACCTAAACGTGTCCACTGAGGGACAAATTGTGGTTTTATTCTGCCCTCTGTTGGACGCATGATGAATTGCACCAGCACTCAACATTGTCCTTTTAAAACAGCAACAGAAGAAATGAAAGGAATATGTTTAGAAGTGTAGAGCTGCCACCCACACAAAATAAAACTGGAGCAACATCACGTTAGAACATTTTAACTTCAATTCAAGTTTATTTATATAGCGCCAAATCACAAGTGTCTCAAGGCACTTCTCACAGGTCATTAAACCAATCAGAAAAAAGTAAGGAACCCAGCAGGTTGCATCGAGTCACTGACTAGTGTCAGAGTCGTTAAAGCAATCCTCATACTAAGCAAGCATGCAGTGACAGTGGAGAGGAAAACTCCCTTTTAACAGGAAGAACCTCCAGAGGATCCTGGCTCAGTATAAGCAGCCATCCACGTGATGGAATATTGTGTCTGGAGTTAGGATCATCTAAAACAAGCTTTGTGGTTTTACGTGTGTGTGTGTGTGTGATGTCCAGGGTGTAACCAGACCACAGGACCAGCTGATAATGAGCTCAAACAACAAATACTTTTATTTATTCATTTTAGTAGTTTCAGCAAAAGCTGCAGCCAAACATCATCTGATGTTAAAACCAAAATAAAACACAAACTGAACTCATTTTATGTAACATGGACAGAATAAAAGCAGTGCATTTGTTTTAAATAACATCAAATATTATGCAAATAATACCTATAAATACATTTAGCACATAGGTGCACCATGGCACATACAGCACTGCCCTGATGGTCAAGATCTACATAGGTAGCATCTACGTTTGGAGTCATGAGACCGTCAGAGGCTTGCCACTTCTCCGGGAGGAGGGGGTTTAAGGCCATTAGAACTCCGAAGAATAGTGTGTGTTTGTGTGTGTGTGAGGGAGAGAGTAACCCGCTTTTCCCTCTCAAAAAATCTGTTTTACAGAGCGGCTGCTTTCAGGTAGAAGAAATAAATAAGAGAGGCCAGTGTTGATGGTGGAGTTCTCCTTTTAGATCCGTTTTTATTGTTCTCTTTTAAGTTTGTTGCTTATTGATGAAATTGTCCCAAATCTTGGACGAGCCGCCCCCTTTTGCATTGTTCACCTTTAAGATGTGAGCTGAATTTGGATCTAGAGTTCTAACTTTCACCAACATCTAGCTAAAGTGTCTCTCCATCATACTGTTAAACCTACTGGGTTAGGGAATGCAGAATGCAGAGCGACGAATAAAGCTATGGTTTGAAGCTAGTTTGTCTGCTTAGATGGACTAAGTGAAAAGTCCTTCCAGACATCGCAAGAAGATCCAAAGATGCTGAAAACTCGGGTGGAGCTGAGGAGAGCAGACGTTCTTGAAGAGTCAGAGGCCTGAGCAACAACAGAAAATAAAACAGTGTAGTGAGAGCCGTAACACTTGTGTGTTTTTGAGATTAAACGTAGCTTTCTCATTTTTCTGATGCAGCAGAAGAAACGTGTGAAGGAGAGCAGAGAGAGGAGTTACCGGCGTTAGTGAATGTCACAGAGATGAACGTTCCCTCTCGGAGTTCTGAATAATCCACTCAATAGCGTCCCACCCCTGCAGGTGCACACAGAACAGAGCAGCAGGTCAACCCCAATCCTCATCCCTAACCAGTCATCCGCACCATCGCCACGACGATCGGAGTCACTGAGACGAAAACAAGCCTACACACCAGGAGGACCTCACTGTCACAGTAGACTGTAAATAAATAAATAAAATCTAAGTAAATAAAAACAATATTTATTTATTTTTAATTTTATTTAATCACATATTTAATTTTCATTTTCTCATTTATATATTTATTTCTTATTTTCCTTTCACATTTATTTAACATTTTATAATTTTATTTCCACATTTATTTATGAATTTCCTGTTTTATTTCCTCACTTTAATATTAATTACCTATTTCTGCAGGAAGAGTCCTCCATATGACACCGGCTGGGTCTAAATCTGCTGCTGCGAGCCGCGGCGGGAGTAAAACACAGACTTTCCTACAACAAAGTCCCTTTCAAGCAACGTCCTTCTGTATTAATGATTTCAAAATGAATTAAGGAGTAAAACAAAACAAAGGAAAGGTTTGGTCAGGATTCTGGGAATTCCACAGCTTTTCCTCCTCAGTGTGGATGTGTAATTTTCATAATCAGAGTGCTAGGTGACTGCCGACTGTCCAAACAGGGAGTCTAAACATCAAGATATAATATAATATGATGAAAATCTGGCAGGACTCAGTCTTTGCTTTAATGAACGTGAAGAAGCGTAAACCTTAACCTGCAGAATGCAGGAGAATGTTTGAGTTTTCTATTTTATTTGATCTATTAGGAAACATGCTGGTCTGCGTTCGCAGGTAACGAGGCCACGGTGAAGCCTCTCTGTGCCTCTGCACACGTAGAAGATAATCATATTCGATTTGCAGCACCTTCCGGGCGTTGGCGGACATGCTCCGGACCATCATCCCCTCCAGATAACTGCCCAGACTGACTCCCTTCACTGTAATGATGGCTTCCTGTGTCAGGACGGTGCTGGGGAGCAGCAGACAGAGGAGGCAGAAAGGACAAGAACAAAATAACGTGGACAGCTCTTATCAAATCAGATGAAAGAAATAATAATAAGACAAATGAACACTTACACCTCAGGGTTTTGTGGGTGTGGTCTGTAAACAAGCCTCTCGTCCACTGATATGAGGTTGGTGAGAGTTATCTGGGGGATAGAGATACTTATTTACATTTAAACTGAAAGCGTGCTTCACGGTTTAAATTAGCTTTTGACTCACATTAGATGAACACAACTCCATCTTTTTCTGGCTGGGGTCGACTATGGAGAGTTCCTTTACATAAGTCTGAGTGTGGTTGGTTCCCAGTATCTAAAGATGGAAATGAGCACAAACCAATCAGAGAAGGTGAGCTTACCTCCATTCATGTTGATGACACACAGCACAGAGTTTTTACGATACATGTCTGTTTATGTGTGTTTATACACATCCCAGCGTTTACCACTGACCGCTCGTACGATACCCGGTAGCCCCCACTCTGTGCTGAGGAGTCTGTGGCTGTGGAGGCGACCCTCTGAGTCCAGACTGCGGTCCAGAACGTCCACCCCGACCACGTTGGGGTTCATGGGGTTGGGGTATTTTCTCATTGCAGCCTTGATCACCGTCTCCCAGGGGTAGCTGCACTCAAAATCAGAACAAAACATCAAACCAGCAGTAGGGTATGGTGGTGGCAGTGTGATGGTGAGGGACCACGTCACCCTATAACCCATTATTCAAATGGGATTAAAGCGGAAACACACATTTAGGAGCATCAGCTGTTTGAGGTCAGTTAATGAAATGGAAGTTTTAACCTTTAACATCATGCTGACTCACCTGAATGCATGTTCGGTGCTCCAGATCTTCATTATTAGAACGGCTGTCCTGGCCCTAATCCGAAGCTACATCTCCTCACCGGACTGCCTTCATCCTCATCACCACTCACGGAACAAGTTGTTCGAATGAGGCCTGGGATGTGTCAGCGAGATGATTCCAGAGGAGCCATCTCCGCTCGCGCGGGCATGTCGGAGTCACGTGAGGACAGAGACGTTTCCCGCTGATACACCTGTCTCAGCGACAACTGGCACAAAACAACATTTAACGGACAGATGAGAGTTGGGAAAAGAGCCGGTGGACCAGTAACGCCGATAGTCAAGATAAATGTCCAAGGGCGAGAGGTTCTCGCTCAGAGTTTCAAAATAAAATACCTTGAAGTAATTTTAAATCTTACATTTTAGCCGTATACATTCATTAGGCTGAACAGTATTGCTTGATTAAATATCACTATCACGTTTAGCTCCAAATGTAATTTAATTTTAGCTATTAAACAAATTGACGGTGATTTTACGACAGTGAGTCATCCAGGAACCGTCCACAGCCATCTTCACTTCCGGTGTTGCGCCAAGGTATTTGAATGTGTGGTCTTGTGTCGGGAGCGCGCATGCATTGAAAAAAAACATTCCAAGCGAGGACGCATCAATTTTTTTACCAAGTAGACGCCAAATATTGCTGGGATTGATTTTAATCATTTTCTTTGATTCACTATGGCAAGCCAAATGAGCATTTATTCTGATATCAGGATATCAGCCAGAATTGTCATGAACATGTAAGCCATTTCTGTCCACTAGTTAACTAGTTAGCCATGTTTGTGTCAACTAGTTAAATAGTGACAGCCTAAATGTCAACTAGTTAACTAGTAAGGCCTAAATTCTCTCTAGTTAACTAGTTAAAATGTTTCATATCTTACTAGTTAACTAGTATTGCTCAGTGTGTTCACTAGTTAACTAGTGGACAGATCAATGTCCACTAGTTAACTAGTTAAAACACATTTAGTTTTTACTAGTCAACTAGTAAGGTACAAAAACTCGTACTAGCTGACTACTGAATGTAAAAATCCCACTTGTTAACTTTGCCCAATTTGGCCAGCCGCTTGAGCATTAATTCTGATATCTTGTCAACAGGTCAACTAGTTAACTAGTGAGGGTAAAACTGTACACGCTAGTTAACTAGTGAACACATTTTGACCCTTCACTAGTTAACTAGTTGACACAAAAATGGCTCATTAGTTAACTAGTAAAGGCCAAAATGCATACCAGTCAGCTAGTTGAAGGTATTTGTGTCTCACTAGTTAACTAGTCAGGGTCAAAATGAGCCCACCAGTTAACTAGTGGGAGACGGAAATGTTCACTAGTTAACTAGTGAACACATTTTGGCTTCACTAGTTAACTAGGTGACACAAAATGGCTCACTAGTTAACTAGTAAAGGCCAAAATGCATACCAGTCAGCTAGTTGAAGGTTTTTGTGTCTCACTAGTTAACTAGTGATGGCCAAAATGTGCACACCAGTTAACTAGTGACAGAAGAAATGCCCACTAGTTGACTAGTGAACACATTTTGGCTTCCTAGTTAACTAGGTGACACAAAAATGGCTCACTAGTTAACTAGTAAGGGCTAAAATGCATACCAGTCAGCTAGTTGAAGGTTTTTGTGTCTCACTAGTTAACTAGTGACAGTTCAAAGTGTCCACATGTTCACTAGTGAAGGCAAAACTCCTAACTAGTTAAGTAGTTGGAGTAGGGCAGTGCCACTAGTTAACTAGTGAACCATTAATGACTCACTAGCTAGCTAGTTGATTGTAGCAGGCTCACTAGTTACCTAGTTGATGCATCCATTGTCCAAACTAGTTAACTAGTGAGGACATAAATGTATACTAGTAAACTAGTTCAAGCCTACATTCACACTAGCTAGCTAGTTGCACAGAATTCTAATTAAGAGGCAGAGAATTTCTCAAATTGAGGCTTTCTATTGGCTCACTATGTTAAAATAAAATATGACAACCAATCACAGTGCGGAATTTTGCAAAATCCCACCCCAAACATTTGCATGCGGCACACAAGTTAACATGCTGGCCAGAGGAACCTCAGCTAGTAAACTAGTAGTGGCTTCAGTGTGACACTTACATGTAAACTTGTGAAGGCGGAACTGCTCACTAGTTAACTAGAGAGGGTACAAATGTCCACTAGTTAACTAGTGAGGTGCAAAATAAGTGTCACTAGTTCACTAGTGGGCCCCAAAACGCCCACAAGTTAACTAGTAAGGTGTGGATATGCTCACTAGTTAACTAGTGAGGTGCAGATTTGCTCACTAGTTAACTAGTGCACCCTTAAGCGCCCACTAGTTAACTAGTAAGGTGCAAAAAAGCATCACTAGTTAACTAGTAAGGTGCAGATATGCTCACTAGTTAACTAGTGTGCCCCAAAACGCCAACTAGTTAACTAGTAGGGTGCGGATTTGCTCACTAGTTAACTAGTGAGGCGCAGATATGCTCACTAGTTAACTAGTGACGTGCGGATTTGCTTACTAGTTAACTAGTGAGGCGCAGATATGCTCACTAGTTAACTAGTGAGGTGCGGATTTGCTCACTAGTTAACTAGTGAGGTGCGGATTTGCTCACTAGTTAACTAGTGAGGTGCAGATTTGCTCACTAGTTAACTAGTGAGGTGCGGATTTGCTCACTAGTTAACTAGTGAGGTGCGGATTTGCTCACTAGTTAACTAGTGAGGTGCAGATATGCTCACTAGTTAACTAGTGAGCATATCTGCACCTCACTAGTACCTCACTAGTTAACTAGTGAGCATATCTGCACCTCACTAGTTAACTAGTGAGGTGCAGATTTGCTCACTAGTTAACTAGTGCACCCTTAAGCGCCCACTAGTTAACTAGTAAGGTGCAAAAAAGCATCACTAGTTAACTAGTAAGGTGCAGATATGCTCACTAGTTAACTAGTGTGCCCCAAAACGCCAACTAGTTAACTAGTAGGGTGCGGATTTGCTCACTAGTTAACTAGTGAGGCGCAGATATGCTCACTAGTTAACTAGTGACGTGCGGATTTGCTTACTAGTTAACTAGTGAGGCGCAGATATGCTCACTAGTTAACTAGTGAGGTGCGGATTTGCTCACTAGTTAACTAGTGAGGTGCGGATTTGCTCACTAGTTAACTAGTGAGGTGCAGATTTGCTCACTAGTTAACTAGTGAGGTGCGGATTTGCTCACTAGTTAACTAGTGAGGTGCGGATTTGCTCACTAGTTAACTAGTGAGGTGCAGATATGCTCACTAGTTAACTAGTGAGCATATCTGCACCTCACTAGTACCTCACTAGTTAACTAGTGAGCATATCTGCACCTCACTAGTTAACTAGTGAGGTGCGGATTTGCTCACTAGTTAACTAGTTACATCTAAAAACACATACAAGCTGACCATTTTTGTCCACTAGTTAACTAGTGGAACAATTGAAATTTCACCAGTTTACATGTGTGGCAGTGCAGCAGCTCACTAGTTAACTAGTGCCTGAAACACAAATTATGCATATTCTAATGACAAGGCGGGCAGAAGACTCCTGTTGGGTATAAGAATCCCACCCAGTCTAAAACGTATGTGCTGTGGCCTCACAATCACATACTGATGGGTGCCCCTGAGCGCCAAGGCTTGCACTCATTAGTCATGGTTTGACACCTACTGGTTGGTCGTTGCGGCGGGTTCGAATCCCGCAGATGGCATTCCGCAATTGCTGTAACATTATTTATTTTCTCTTTGTGTTGTAATGTTCAAAGTTTTATTGTTTTACTGCTTTTATTCCCCCCTCCCAAATCAAGTAAAGCACCTCGTTTGGTGTCGTGTAAGGGAGATCAGTTGGCGAGTTCAAGTCCCATTGAGGAGAATTGGAATTTAGTGTGCCAGTAATTTTATTGTAGTTAATTTTTGTTTGGTATTGAAAGTTTGGTATTGAAAAAGGCTATATTAAAAATAATTATTTATATATATATATATATATATATATATATATATATATATATATATATATATATATATATATATATATATATATATCTCCATCCATCCATCCATCCATCCATCTTCCCAAGAAATAGATCAAATGACACTGAGGGAAAAAACTGTGGTTATTTTGGAGAGGGTGCTGGCTGCAAAACCACAAAGGCGGAGCTGCACCCCGCCCATTCACGCAAACTCAGCCTAGCCCACTGACTTACGTTTTTGTTTTCAACTTTATCGCAAACTGACCTGACCCACATGAATTACGGCTGTTACTAGTTTACAGTCGTTAATGCTATGTTCTATACTCCAATTAAACAAGATAAATATAACTTGCTACATGACAAAGACTGAATATATCTCGAAATGAAAAGGTTTCTTTTAGCGAATATCTGCCTACAGCTGGTTTAATAAAAGTGGTGTACAACAGCACTTCAGTTTATTGAACGGCCTCTGGCAGTCTAATGGTAAAATCGTCTGAGTTGGTTTTTGCTTTCCCCTCAGCTGATGCTGGTTCGATTCTCGGTGGGGTCATCAGCAGTCTATTTAACCACATTCAATTTGTTTATATTTTAGTTGTAATGTTTCTTTTCAGCAAAATATTTATGTCGCTAAAAGTTCTTTGAATTTGGTCGTTCCTAAACAGCATTTTAGTTGAAACTCTGCTCACAAATGGACTCACACTGGCTAAATAAACGAATAAATAAATAAATAAACACATTATATGTTAAACGGTATACCAGTAAATTGTTGTAAACATAGTACTGGCAAGTGTAGCTAGAAATGAAGAAAAGAGGTTGTAAACTACCTAAAACTTACACTACTGGGAGGCGAAACAGCATGTCAACCTGACTCCATAACCACTACACCACCACATCTGTTATAAATCAAGTGGTGTTACATGTAATTGTGCTGCCCAGTGTGTCTCTGAGATGGGATGTATGGTTTATTGGCGGTGTCTCAGTAGTAGTCATTTCAGAAATAATTTGTCAGAAAATTCACAGAATATCCAGATTTGAGAACCAAGACCAGACCCGCTTCGGGGGAGGAGACCAAATTGAAGCTGAGATGGGAGGAAAATGCATGAATGAGGCTAAAAATGGCTTTGGCGTGTTTCTTATGAGGAAATGACAATATAACATGATTAAAAGTTCCAAAAGTTAGATTTTTAATTATATGGAACCTTTACAAAAACTGTTCAATTAACTTCTCAACTCCGTCCTCAATCTCGCATTTTTTAGCTACAACACCCTCTTTGGTTCCAGAATGCTATCAAGTCTGACAACTGGAAGGAATTGGACTGACTCTAATGGAATGGGCGGGGCTGATTCTGGAATGGGCGGGGCTGACTCTGGTGCAGCTCCACCTTCTGGTGCAGCTCCGCCTTTGTGGTTCTGCAGCAAGCACCACTTGTTATTTTGAGCTAGTACCAGAAGACAGTGTAACCTTTTTTAGTTCTCTCCAGTCAAAACAAAACTTTAGACTTTTTTCTTTTTTAAATTTAACAGGGAACAGCAATCAATTGAACAGGGAACTGCAACCAGTAGTCACACAACAAAATAAAATCACACAAACAAAATAAAGTTACTCTCCTTTTTTCTTGGTGTCTGAAAAGGGCAGGGAAAACCATCAGACTCCAGTCACCCATCGAATGGACTCTTCACCCTCCTGCCCTCTGGGAAGCGCTACAG